ATTGTGGACCTCCACAAGTCTGGTTCATCCTTGGGTACAATTTCCAGATGCCTGAAGGTTCCACATTCATCTGTTCTAACAATTTTACACCACTATAAACACCATGGGAATGTCCAGCCATCATAGCACTCAGAAAGGAGACGGGTTCTGTGTCCCAGAGATGAAGTGTTTTGGTGCGAAATATGCATCTCAACCCCAGAACAAAAGCAAAAGACCTTGTGAAGATGCTCCTGAAGCTGGTCAGAGAGTCATGGGCTGGAAGGCTACTCAGAGAGGAAGAAGACATCACTCCAAAAGAAACATAAAAAAGCCAGATTACAGTTTGCAAATGCACACAGGGACAAAGAGCTTCATGTTTGGAGACATGTCCTGTGGTCTGATGAAATTAAGACTGAACTGTTTGGCCTTAATGGCCATCATTACACGTGGAGGAAAAAGGGGGAAGCTTGAAGCCTGAGAACACCATCCCAACTGTGAAGTACGGGGGTGGCAGCATCATGTGGTGGAGGTGTTTTTTTCCTGCAGGAGGGACTAGTGAACTTCACACAATAGATGGCATCATGAGGAAAGAACATTATGTGGAAATATTGAAGCAACATCTCAAGATATCAGCCAGGAAGTTAAAGCTTGGTCACAAATGGGTCTTCCAGATGGACAATGACCCTAAACATACCGCCAGATTAGTTACAAAGTGGCTTCAGGACAACAAAGCCAAGGTTGTGGAGTGGCCACCACAAAGTCCTGATCTCAATCCTGTAGGAAAGTTTGCGGGCAGAGCTGAAAAGGCGGCTTGCAAACCGGACTCAGTTCCACCAGTTCTGTCAGGAGGAATGGGCCAGAATTGCAGTACACTATTATGAGAAGCTTGTGGAAGGAACCCCAAAACATTTGACCCAAGTCATAGAGTTTAAAAGCAACGCTACCAAATACTGAGGAAATGTGTGTAAACGTCTGACTTTGAAGACAGTCATAAAAAAATCCTCTAAAAACACTCTCTCTCTCATTATTCTGGCATTTAATGAATAAAAAAATATATATTTTTAAACCTAGCTGACCTAAAACAGGATAAAGTTTAGTCTGAATTAATGTCAGACAGTAAGAAATAAGGGTTCTGTGTCATTTTATACAGTGCATGTAAACTCTTGGTTTCAACTGTAAACTGAAGTAGAAAAATTGCAAACAGAAATCAAAAATCAAAAATTCATGACAAAAGTTGTTTCGGGAGCAGAAAAAAAAAGTTTTGTTATTCAAAATTTGTCAATTTGAGAATATAGTGTTGCAAAATTACCCCAACTTGTTAGAATTTGATGTTTTGTGTCCCATTTAATCAAAATGTGTGTGTGCAAGATAGACTTCTGAGTGCAGTCTACTTATTAGTAATCGGGCATATTTTCTGTTCGCAAAAGCACCTTTTACTCCATTTTGTCTGCTGGTTTTGGTAGCACATTAGATGATGGTTCTAGAGGACTTTGTTCCCTGCCAGCAAAAACATATCTGGGTGGGGGTGGAGTGTGCAGTGAAAATTGCTTTATTATTAAATCAGTCGCGCAAAATGCTGCTGAAACAATGGTGTCATCAAAACAGTCTTCCTACTTGTGAAGTAGAGCAGCGCCAACATCTGTGCTGTCAGATAGTCATGGCTGCCAATAATATTTACGCTACGCATTCATATCTCCGGCGCATATTGTTCTAAAACCAACAATACGAAAAGCTGATGAAGCTGCTGTCATAAAAAAAGTCCTTCTCATTGACATTGCTGCCAAATGTGTTTTCATTCCCCCATTGTTTCTGAGGGATCGTCTCCAGTTTAATCAAACGCTGCCTCTTGGTTGGGGATTTTTAAAGCTCTTGTCACGGAGCAACGTTAGCATGAATTTTATTTCGATTCACATACATCCCGCTGAGGCAGCAAATCTTGGCTGCTTTGATGGATTCCTCCCCCCCCTTCACTTTGTGATTCGCAATCCGCTAACACTTGTAAGACAAGCTTCAATACATGCCCTCTAAATACAGCTAATGCCTCGGCTAAAACACACTCGGATGAAATGCGTTATGGGCGCATTGTATTGAAAGAGCAGTCTGTTTATCACAGTGTTTGTACCTACTGTACGAACACCAGCCTTTATCTTTGCGATCATACAGTGGCTTTGAATGACAAACCAGTCCGGCTCCATTCGCTGGTAATTTTTATTACTGAACAGTTGGAGGATTATCCTCCCAAAGAAGCATTTGCAATCTCCCCTTTTTGTTTTTTTTTGTTTTGATACATTAATCTTCCTTTTCTGAGAGATAGCAAAGCGTGTGTATTGGCCGTTTTCTTGAACAAGAAAAAGGAAAACAACAGAAAAACAGGAGTCATGTTGGTATTGTCCAGCAAACGTCCACATCCAAATATCTGTTTATCTGTTTGTTTAGTTTGCATGTTTCCCATCTCACATACCATTTCACATTCCATCTGTTTTATATCCAAATACGACCAAGCGACAGACTATCAAATCGGAATTAGTGCCACCTATTTTGAACTTCAGAATGCCAAGTGTTCACAGATATTGTCATTATCGTCAGACACAAATCCATCAGTTCTGGAGAAAGCACCAGGTTCCACCCTTTTAAATGTAATGATGTTCAAAATTTCTATTTAGAAAGAATTCGAGGACAAATCGTTCCCCAGAATCGACGACAGAAGATGGTTTCCACCAATCGCAAAGTTGTTGCTTCAATCAATGAGTGTGTATGTGTGTGAACAGGCGAATGGGAACGTTGTAAATCAGTTTGAGCACCACTTAGGTAGAAAAGCGCTGTATGAGTGTAGACCTTTCACATCACTCGCATTCAAGTTGATACTGTGCCTTTTTTTGTATATTAATCTTTATAAAAAAAAAATATCGCCTCTTCAGAAAATTCACACCAATTAAATATTTACCAAGAGCTGTTAAGTACCGAAACTTCATAACTGTGTGAGATTCCTTTTTAACGAGGAGAATCCTGTTTGCATTTCTAATTCTGCGTTTCTGTTTGAAATAGGTGGCATTAAATCAAATTAATCAAAGTACCTTTATACAAATTCATAGCAGTTTAAAGCGCTTTACTGGTGATTAAGAAAGCATAGGATGGTTAAATACAATACTACACACCAAAGTAGTGGAATAATACCAAATACTTGATGGGTTACAATGAGAACAGTTAGTACGAGCAATACAAAATAACAATAGAAAGTAGGGTTATGAGATATTGCCTAAACTAAATTGATTATATTAAAACTGTAAAATTCAATGAAATAGAAATATATATATATATTAGAATAGGTGAAAGTATGTCAAACCTGCTATTTCAAATGTCAGCCACACTTTTAGCTCACAATTTCGATTGTTAGTCACATTTTTAGCAAAAAATTTCAAATGTTAGCCACACTAGCAATTTGAAATGTTAGCCACACTAACACACTAACAATTTGAAATGTTAACCAAATTTTTAGCTTGCAGCTTTCAGTATTAGCCATGGTTTAGCTAATAGTTTCAAAAGTCACATTTTTAGCTAAAAGTTTGAAATGTTTGCCACATGTTAGCTAACAATTTCACACCCTTTTGGCTAACAATTACAATGTCAGCCACACTTTTAGTTAAACATTTCAAATGTTCGCCACACTTTTAGCTAACAATTTCAAATGTTAGCCACACCTATAGGTCACAATTTCAGTTGTTAGCCACACTTTTAGCAGTAAAAAATGGAAGTTGCTGAATTGCACCAGCAACCAGCACACTTGAAGTGATTTGCATATCCTTGCAAGAATAATTGCTATCATACACATGCTGGTTGTTGTTGTTGTTGTTTCTATTCCAAGGCCAACTCAACAGTCTGAATATGCATTCATCAAAAAACAAAAAAAAGAGAGGAAAAACAACAACAACAATTAACTCTATATGAACGTCAGTGCAAATTCATAAATTTACTTCAGCAATTTTTCTAAAATGCAGCAGTTCTGGTTCCTGAAATTTGCCATTATAAATGCTGGTGTGGCCGCTTCTTTAGCCATAATTCGGTGTCAATCCTATCCAAAGCTGCTGAAGCTGCAGAATAACACCGTCTTAAAGTAATAAAAAATAGTGAGATAAATACCAGAACTTTGTGCAGTCATTCAAAACGCAACCATTCGTCCATTCTATAGCAAATCCACTCGACGGCCGAACATGCAGTGTGCCATACACAGATTGAATGCTTATTCTTTTTATTGTTAAAATGAAAAATGATTTAAAATTTGCTCAAACTCCAACCTGATTCTCTGCATTGTCATCTGCGTTTTTTCAGTAGGAAGTTTTGCAGCAGACGTTTTACCTCTTCTCAGTAAAAACGTGGGGGGTTACCTAACACAGGCGACATTACCAACAGCTCACGTCCATCAAGGTGTCACAGCACGCACAACAAGCTGGAACGAACTCACCTGTATTGAACATTTTAAGTTTCCTGCTATGGCAAACCAGTATGTTTAAAAAAAAAGTATTTAAAATACCCACAGTAACGGCTTCATTCTACAAGGCAAACTTTGCAGGGTTTTAATACACAGCCTGAGGTGAGGATTCACTTATTCTGCATTCCAGTGAGGATAGTTCCACCAAAACCACCATCACACTCAAGAAGCTGCATTTCTGCACCCAAATCAGCAGGTCTCCTGTTTGATCTGCTAATGAAATGGCGAAATCTAAGTTAACAAAAACCAACATGTTCAAGAAGAAAAAGGAAACCAAACACATAATACACGGTGCGTTAAGTTCCAGCTCGGCTTCCATCCCCATTAGCCTACATTTCAATTATTGACGAGGAAAACGTTAATGCTGTGATCTGTTTCCACGCCGAGCCCAGCAGTGGGTTCACTTGAAGTTCTGGGCGCCCTTTCCCTGCCGTCTTCTGCGAGGCTAACTCGAGGACGAATCCCTCACCATTGGTCCAGAACTTCCCGTTTCTTTTTTCACTGGAGGTGTATTTGTTTTGTGTGAATCCAACAGCGGGTTCAACTTTCTTGAACCCAGACGGGGACTCTGGGACGGAGGCAGACAGCGAGCCTCAGCTGGCCTTTTACACCGACCCAAACCGCAGTCGCCGCCGGAGTCGAGGTATGAGAAATGGTAACGCCAACAGCGCGTGGGGCTCAGGGGGTAAGGAGGACTCGTACACCTACAGACAGTTTATCGCCGTCTGATGGTATCACCATCGCCACGACGCATGACAAGTAACCTTTGCGATGCATTTAGCAGATGGATGGTTCTGGTGTTGTGTATGCTCGTGGGTTTGACTCGGAAAATGAAACACACAGAACTTTGTGCATATGCTGGATAGGTGTGTCGTACAGTGGTGGTGAGCATGTGAAGCTGATCTCAGTGCATCTGCATACAAATCTTGTTGACTGTAATCCAACAAGATGACGAGATCAGAGGTTCCCAGTGCAGAATATTTGGATATTACTTTGCATCTTACGACGTGACACCGTATTTTTTGAAATAATATTACACACAAATATTATTTCTGACGAGGATCTTGTGCAAATATTGTCAAAGTGAAGTGGTGCAGCACGCTTTAACTGTCAGCATGCCGTGTCCTTGCAGCTTTGATGTACAGTAATGGGGTGTTGAAGAGAGACGGTGGGAGGGAGAAAAAAAAACACAAAACAAATAAAAAGAGACAATGCCCTCGAAATAATAGTCGCTGTCAGAAGGCGTTACAAGCCTTTATGACGCCTCCAAGCCAATTATTCCCCCGTCATGTGCACAGGTGTCACAAACACGGCGAAGCCTCCAGAAGTGCAGCCAACACCTTTAATTAGAGCGAGGGTTAAGAATAGAAGCAAGTGCTCGCAACGTTGCCCCGACTAGATTGTTTAGATCCAGAGGAAAGGATGATTCACGAGGCATGACAAGAGTGTTTCTTCATGACTGAGGAATGACGAGAGAAGGAGATTATTGATTTTTTTTTTTTTTTTTTTTTTTTAATAGTCAAATGTCTGCCGGAGATAACTTTTGTAATATTCTGAAATATGTACTTTTAAAAAGAAGTCAAAAAGGTGAAATTGTGCCCCACATCCAGTCTCTGGGTAAGTTACATGATTAAATAAGCTGGCTTTATACATAATACGGTAGGTCAGCTTTCTACTTTGGCTTTTGTTTAAAGGATCGCCTTGGGCAGCTTTTGAATGAGAAAGTTCTGCCAGAGTAATTTAAAAGTGACAATGTAATCTGGAGTTCTTCTGCTCGTGAAAAAATAGCCACTTTAAACAAAGCGTGAGTGGCTGTATTCAAGGTCACGGTGATACTTGTGTGTGTGTGTGTGTGTGTGCATGTATGTATGCATGGCCGTGTGGGTATGAGGTCACGTTTAACACTTTCCATGTCGCACTCTGGAGTAGAAGAGATAAGGGGAAGCGTTCTCACTCGAGCAGAGGAGGAGCGCCAAGGAAAGAGGGAAGGTTGAAAAACAACCTCTGAACCATTTTTATTTAGCGCCATGTCTCTCTTTCCCCCCACACATCCCAGCGTGGATGTTAATACCCTTCAAAGGTAAAACCTTATTTCTGTGCCACCGAGCCATGCCTAGTCTAAACCTCCCAAAGGCTTGAGGTTTTTGATCCAAAGGTCCTTTTCATGGGCGCTAAGCCCATTTTTTGGCTTGTTTGTAAAATGACTCCCTGTGTAGGCAGTGTGTGTTAGTGTGGCTGTGTGCATGCATGTCTGTGGTGCGGAGGGGTTATGGGGGAGTAAAGGGCGACCACTGCTTCACATATCTCTTCCATTTGTTGTTCCTTCCTCCCCGCCCCGACTCCCTCCCTGTGAATTTGTTTCCAGCAGCAGGTTCCCCGCGGAGCCCCATCAATAAGACCACCCTGACTCTGATCAGTGTCATCAGCTGCGTGATCGGCCTGGTTTACTCGTCTCACCTCACCTGCAGCCTCGCCGTCCGGGTGATCCTACACGTGCCGGAGCACCTCATCGCCGACGGTAAGGCTTCACACCAGCCTCAGATTGTGGGATGCAGCTTTTCCCAAACACACCCCTGCGGACAGCTCGAAGCCCCGGGGGGCTGATCTGGCATTTTTCTCCCGCTCTCCAGAGAGTTGAGCTCACTACATCTCTCAAACCGAGTGCCTGCGCTTTGCAGTCGAGCCGCTGATTCGCTTTGCTCTCTCAAAGACAAAGGTAAATGCCAGGTCGACCACCCCCTCCCTGGGCTTCCCGTGTCACGCCGTACAACAGATGTGCCCTCAAAGCATCAGAGCACATTGAGGCTAGGTCGCAGTGACCACCCGCAGCAAACCCTCCATCACTCTTCCCCTTGTACTTTCTGATATGTTGAACTACCTCGCTAATGAATTTCAATGTAGCACCTGCAGAACGAAAAAAAAAGCACCACGGGGGCCAAGCGCTGGCTCCTGCTGGCTCATTGGCATTTTTCAGCTGTCACTGGAGTGAGCTGGCAGTCCAGATATATTATAGACTGTGACTAGGCTCACTCATCTATCATCTGGAGGTCTGATTTGATTCGGAGCGCTGCTGCTTTCCGGTGGTATACGCCGGCCTGCCAGGGAGATATTAAAATTCCAGGGAGGCATCCAGGGAGGGAACTTTGAAAGGAGAGATGAAAGATGGCGAATTCGCCTGTTGAATTACAAAACTGGGATCGATTTAGAATGTTTCCATAAATGTCTCCACAATCTCATCAGACTTGATTTGATGTCATGGCGAATCAGATGAAAATCTGGATTCCACCACTGGGGAAAGAAGCTATTAATGCCAACAGCTGCGCATGTGTCTGCTTTCAAATACCGCGAAGAAGAAAAGCACAGAAATGTAGAGTCACACCTTTCTCCTCGCCTTTCACATCAGGGAAAGTAATCATCTGGAGATGTTTGTGTGCTTACGCTGGGCAACAACAACTACTGCTGTTCAAGATACATAATAAAGGGCGGGACAAACTTTTCTTTGCCTCTAACTTGCAGAGTCTCAAATAGAAATGTGACCGAGGTTTGTTGTCTATGATTGTGTTCGGTAGGAGCAGATTTTATTTTACAATCTGGTGTAAAAATTACATCTGATTGTATCTCTAGGAGTGTCACTGTGGCTTTTAGTTAGGTATGGTGTATACTGCTGATTCACTAGATGATTCCCTCGCTTCTTCACGAAAAAAAACGTTTTCTGTCTGTGTTCAGTTTGAGAAAAGACGCCAACTGGTTGACCAATATGTTCCAACCTAACACCTATTTCTTTAGTGACCATCTGGAAAAAACTTTATATCGAGCAGCGTCATTAATTCTGGAACTGACTTATTCCTTAAAGAACATAAAAGATGTCCGACTGGAGGCCACATCATCTCTGTTCGATTAGAGGCGAAATAACGTTATATTATCTTTTTTTGAAATGTCAGCTGCTGCCTGCGTCTCAGCTGCTTTGATGCCACGTGTTGGTGTGATTAGTAGATGAGTTTGGTTCTGAAGTGTGTTTACTGTCAAGAACCACTGGATGACATTAGTGGCTGGTGTAATAAAGGTAAGGAGCTTCTTACAGCAGGTCCAGCTGGTCTACTTACAGTCGTCCTCACATCCTTCCATTAAAGAAAAGGCAAAATTCACAATAGTCACTCAAATAACTGGAAACTGAAAAAGCAATCATAAATAAAAATTTTCTTAATTATAATTTAGTGAAATAAGCCATTGCTTTTGAATTGTGCTTGAAAATAATAATTTTTAAAAAACAAAAAACTGTCCTGGACAAATTAGAGCACATTGCTGATGAGCAGTGAAATCAAAATAGCTGTCAACAGGTGCAGAAGTCTGACTGAGAGTTACAGAAAACACCTGATTGGCTCAAAGGGTTGTTCAACAGAATGTTAGTTTACGGGTCCCATCATGCTTGTTTGTTGTTGTTTTTTGAATATTTCTGTTGAACCACAATTCAAAAGCAATGTCATGATTTTCATGATATTTTTTATTTATTATTACTTTTGTCAGTTTCAGCTTATTTTAGTGACAGCTGTTTTCTTTCCTTCTTTAATGGGAGGGTATGAACACATTTGAGGACGACTGTATCTCGTGAACAAGAGAAATTTTGGAAGAAACTCTACAGTGTGATTCATGCACGCTGTGGCTCCTTGAAAAGCACTTAAAGCACTGATTAGTTCATTCATCCATTTATCCATTAGTCCAGTTCCTGTCTTGAAATTTAATGAATTTTTTCAAAAACTTTAATAAAAACTGGATTGTCAGTGTATAATTTTCTCCAAAGCTTCCGTTGTAGTAATTAACACTGGAAAAACAATGACTTAGATTTTTATAAAAGTCTTTTAATTTAACATTTTTGAGCCACTGAGTGACAGAAAGTAAATTTAGTAAAGCAATATGTTCATCCAAGGCTGTTTTTTTTTCATCCTTTCTTGTTTTGGTTCTTCATTTTCCATTGTTGTGGTCATATACTGTTATGTTTCCACCGTTCAGACCCTGACTGAAGTGCTGCACAGTGGTGCTTAAATCGGCCATTAAGCCCGGTGTCTACTCCACTGATTCAGCTTTGGAAGTCCACTCAGGCATATACGGCATCCTGTGAGAGTCACACTTGAGGTGATGATGAGTATCTGACTCAAGCTCCTCGAGTTTCTCATTCTGATAAAGATGCATTTCCCTCAATCAGAGGTCCATTCCTTATTGTGTGCTACATTTGAAACATTTAATATTAGAATCGTTGTAATGATGCAAAAACAAATCGCATCCTTGTGGCTATCGGACACATCAAATACAACTTGTATCACCACGACTGAAACACTGCTGAGTGTGAAAGTTTTTACAGGCAGTTTTATGACTCTTCCCAATTAGGCAAACAAGACATGTCCAGCCATTTGCAGTGTGCGTTCTAGTTCTAAAGAAATCATCAAACGGGATGGCACTCACTGGGGCACACAGAGCCTGCCAAAAAGTCATTAAATATGCTTGGGTTAGCAAATGCCCGGTGCATCCCATGTTTGTTAATGGACAGCACCGTGGTCAATGAGTGTTGCTGCTAATTTGCAGAGATCACAGCAGGTAGTTGCAGTGATCTCTGCAATCAGTCGGATCTCAGAATTTTACTTTTTTCCAGGCAGTCACACACTGGGCAGGAAACATTTCACAAAACACCCCGGTTTCGACTGGCTCCCCTTAGTTAACAGCATTTGAGCTGTAAACCCTGTGGGTCCTCAGCCTGTAAGTGTACTCAGTGTAGCTAATTGATTACACCTTTTAAAGGAAAGTTCTGTGCTGCACCTTTCAACAACAGGGCAATTAAAACATAAGTAGATGGGTTTGAAATGAAAAAGAAACACTAACACATGCATTCCCTTCCTCATTATCCTCCATTACGGAAACAGAATGTTACCCCGGTGCTCAACACTTTTCCTCCACTGATCAGATGCTTAAACTTTGAAATTTACATAGAAAACAAACCGGCTTCGCAGCGTGACAGCGTTGTCAAGACTGGAAGCCATTTATGGCTGTATTCTTTTAATTTTTCTAAAACAGAAGTTGGCTAATGATAATGCCAACAAATGCGCAGCTGCAGTAAATTACCATACATTTATTAGCACTGACAAAGTGTTGATGTGATGCTGAAATTTAATACAGATTCTCTCATGCCACTTCATTTATTTAACAAGCACTACTAATAAGACACGTGCGAACATCAAGGCGGTTTGGGGGAGCTCAGGAGAAAACAGCTCGAGATGAGAAAGTGCTCATTGTTAGTGGGTGTTTCCACAGTTAGTACATCTGCTGGAGTGCTTTGTTGCATTGTCATAGTCGTATGAACGGTGTCAGAGCTTGTGGAATGCATTTCTCTGCAGGACTTGAACTTTATCCGTGTTACTTTCCAGTTCGTTTGTTTGAAAGGAAATGTATGTTCATCGCAAAAAGTAAGACTAACGTAGCAGGAAAGTTTAAAAGAGAATAAAAATCCATGTTCACATGTAAGAAGGGACGATGAAGGCGTAAGACGGTGACAGGACTTTAAACCAGGAAACCAAGATTCACGTCACGTGGGAGATGATATCTGATACCATTATTCTCATAGATTTTAAATTTTATTTGCTGTTTGGTTTGCTTAAGGCACCGAAACGACCTGGTTAGATTTAGAAAATAGCTCAGTTTGGGTAAAAATACATTCCTTTCACAACACATTTGAATTTTCCCCTTAAATTTCTGGCATTGACCTCATCTAATATGTGACCCATCTGCACGAAATCAGCGGCATTGCACCTTGGGCTACATCCGAGATACAGCCCGAATTAAGTTAACACATGATAAAATATTGATTTTGGGTTCATTGCTTAGATCGATCCATGTTGTTTTCTACATGTAGGTAGCATATAATATTAAGGGCGGCTGTGGTTCAGGTGGTAGAGCGGTTCGATCCCCACCCCCTCCACAGTCAAAGTGTCCTTGGGCAAGACACTGAACCCGAAGTTGCTCCCAATGGCAGGCTCGCGCCTTGCATGGCAGCTCTGTCGCCATTGGTGAATGAGAAAACATTGTAAAGCGCTTTGAGTGCCGCTACGTTAGAAAACCGCTATATAAGTGCAGACCATTTATTACAGAGCGTAATAATATTATGCTCCATATTGCTGTCAAATACTGTCACTCGCAATGCCACTGATTTCGTGCAGATGGGTCACATATATGACTTGTTGGCCGTAAAGGAGCAACACTAAAGCAATAAAAATCCATGACAAAGATACAAAGTGTGTAAGAAAAGTTCCAGGACTGATGTCACAAAAGATGTATTTCAAACCCAAACGACAAACTACCAGTTTTCCCCTTCAAACGATCAACCAGCACGTCTACAAAGAAATCCTGCAGAGAAGAGGTGAGAGTTGTGGCAGGGCAAGTCGTGGCTGCTTCACCATGACAACGCACCTGCTCACAATGCCCTGAGCATCCAACAGTTCCTGGCTGAGAAGAACATCGCCATGCTGCAGCAACCTCCCTACTCACCCCACCTGGCTCTGTGGGATTTTTTCTCTTCTCCATGCTCAAGGGGGTCATTAAGGGGACCTGTTTTGAAGACGTGGACAACATCAAGATGGCTGTGACGACGGAGCTGAGGAGGATCCCAGAAGAATCCTTCCAGGAGTGCATGGCGGCGTGGCAGAGAAGGCTGGGAAAGTGTGTTAAACTCCAGTAGTTCATATTTGAAATATATCTTTTGTGACACCAGTCCTGAAACTTTTCTGACACAACTCGTATGTTGATTTGAAAAGTGTTAGTGATGCATTAAAACCAAACGTAATCTGGCAGAAACCATGTAGCTGAGAGTGCAGTTTGGTCGTGTAGGGATCATTTTCAGGAGGCAGGGCTCCATCTCAGTCGTAACTGAATCACATACATGCTGTCTGCAAACTCATTAGCTGAATTTCCCACGGCACCAGTCGGAAGGAAAGAAGGTTTCCTCAGCAAACCTGTCACCACACAAATATGTACCTAGAGTCCTCAGTCCAAACTACACCAACATTAACTGTTAGTATACTAAGTATTGTGCGATTGTCCATTTGTATCTATCATCACGTAGTTATCAAAGCACTGTGGAAAACGTGTTAAATTCAAACCTGTTTTCTTCACTCGTGCTGCATCTGTTTGGCTTCAGGGCAGCAAAGCAGTTGCCTCGACTAAATGCCTGTGGTTACAGATAATAATAACAAACTACATGAGCGTTAGTCTCGCTATTATTGGTATCACTTCGTTTAAATGGTTCTTCCAGTTTACACATTTTTATCTTTCAGTTTTGTAGCTGTTGTCATCTTGGCTGCACTCCAGCTCCTGCTTTAATGCTACAAAATAATAATAATTACCGGCGGCGAACTGCGAGGCTGATGTTGTTTTTCACCTTATGAGTCCGTCTATTTGTGTCATCGTGGCAAAATGTGGTTGTGGGGACATTTATTTAAGCAGGAACTACTGCAGAGACGGTTTGGAGTTATTGGACAGATGTTGTCTACGTGGTGCAGTCATGGAACTTTACAGCTGTGTCGTTTGGATCAGAATGAAGGTCAGGTTTGAAGATGGCAGTGAGTTCTGAGTACTCTCTTAAGCATGTGGTTGAAGGAAAGACACAGTAGTAATAATGCTGCACTGACTGCTGAGCACTCATGGTTCTGAACATACAAGATGGCCTCTGGTTCTTTTATTAGAATAGGCAGTTTTTTGGGGAGTTGTTTTTGAGGCGTCAATAGTCCCAAAAATTCTTAAATGTTTCAACCTGTTGTAATTCACATAGTCTAAGGCCTTGTCCACATGTAGCAGGGTTTTTGTAAAACCGAATATCCTCCTCCCTCCTTTTGGAAACAAAACTTAGGTACACACCACCTCATTTTTAGAAAAAGAATTCATCCACATCTGACCGCATTCGTGCGTTGTTAAGCACGTTCATATTCTACGTGAGGATGTAATAACTCCGATGACAGGAGCGACGACCGGGACATACGGAAATTGTCGCGCCATTCCTCCAGGAGCACGATTTCCATCTCAAAGTTCTCCCACCAGCTGGCAGTGCGTCCCGGTCTAACCCAAAACCAGTGTCGGTGTCTTTGATGGAGAATATGCCTCGGACGTGGAAAGGCAAGGTGTCGGAAAATAACCGTCCTCAACGGCGTCTTTCGCCTGCATTCTTGTACGTGGAGTGGTATCTGGGACTGGACAAGAGACAACGCCGACACAGTTTTGAGGGCGTCCACGCTGTTTCCAAGTGTAAACACAGGTCGCATGTGTGATGTAAAGAATATATTTTGTGGCAGGCAGTGACGTTTTGAAACCTAGAATCCTGGTTATTGACGTCCACATGCAGACGCATAAACGGAGGATTCTTCACTTTGGTCGGATGTTTTTGAAAGAATCGTTTTTAATGCCGTTTTCGTGTGGATGACAGACCAAATCGTAGGAAAATATCTTCATTTTGTGAGATACCCTGCTACGTGTGGACAAGGCCTAAGAGGAAACAAGATTTTCTGCACCTCCTCTTGACTCCCTTTGACTCAAAGTCTCAACATTTAAGACTTCACGCTATAGGAACAGCTTTGTTCCTGCTGCTGTTTCTCCTGTAAATAAGTCTTAGTGCCCTTTTCTTTTAGGTCTACCTTATTTCTATTTCTACTTAACGGAAGCCTGGCCTGGTTTTACTTATTGTCCCCATTGTATCATGCTTTTAACGGGTTTTTATATTAGCATTTGAGTTGGTTTATTTCGCTTTTAATCCTGTTCAGTGAGCCTACGAGTCCTTGTCAGTGTCTGTGCTCTGCGCTGTTCTTGTGTTTTAAATGTCTGTGTGGATTGTCAGATGCCCTCTCCTGCTACTGCAGAACAAATCTACCTATGGATACCAATGAAGTCACCTTGAACCTTGAACCTCTTGCCTCCATTCTCATAATGTGAGATGAGATTGAGCGTAAACAGCAAGCCACTGTCTCCATGTGTTAAGCTTCACACCTGTCAATTTACAGGACTAAAATAACACACAACGGAGTTAAGGTCAGGGGCTCTTTGTCATGATTATATAGTGGGCAATGACGCTTGAAATAAGTCTTTTTTTTCCTTTCTTTTTACCTTTTTTCACATTTCTACTTACTGCAACTTTAAATATCACAGTAGGGTTTGAAAAGGCTCCTTGAAGTTGTACATTTTTAAAAATGTATTTATTTTTTCCCACTCTCAGGTTTATTTAATGCTAAATAAATCCCCAGCTGCTATTTAAAAAAAAAAAAAAACTATTTTATTTTGAAGGTCCCCCTACGTTTTTCTTTCTTGTGAAGTGGCCCACTGTTCATTTCAGTTTAGAGCAAAATAATTTGTTGCATACTGTCTTCAATCTGACTGAAGGTATTTTAACTCCAAGGTCAGTGTGCAGTTTGTCCTCTACCTTTTTTATTATTATTATTTTAATGATAAATGACTCATTTATAAATGCAAAAAAAAGAAAATACTTTTGAGATGAAATATTTATGCTTTCAGTCATTCGGTTCCATATTTCTTACTGTTCTTTTTTCCTTCCTCCTCATTCCTCCTCCGTGTCCCTTGTCCTTCTCTTCAACCCTCCATCCAACTCTCACTCCTTCCCTCTTTCCCTTGTACTCTGCGCTTTTCCCTCTCCTCTGTCCTCCTCAGGATCAAGGTTCATTTTGCTGCAGGGGAGCCAGTTGGACGCCTCAGACTGGCTCAACCCGGCTCAGATCTTGTTGTACTACCAGCAGAATGCCAGCGGGCCCTGGGTCAGCGAGCTGTGCGGACGGCGTCTCCTGGATCCCTGCGAGCACCAGTGTGACCCCGAAACAGGTGAGCTGAGAACCGTCGCGTACAGAACCGGGAGCGATGAATTATTAGATGAAATGAAAAAGGTTTCAGTTCACTGATTTGACTCGTCTCCGTCAAGATTTCCAGGGAGAATACAGAGAAGTTACATTATTAAAAAGGTCCCAAAGACTTTTCTTTTCTTTTTTTTAAAACACATTATTTAAAGACCCCCTCTGGTTAAACTTTGCAAGTGTTTGACCTTTTTTAACATTTTCATACAGTTTTTTAATTTATTAAAAAAAAAAATTAATTACTTTTTTTTTTTTTTGGGCTGCAGTCTGATCCAAGTCTGATCTAACCCTAATATGTATTGTCTGCCAATACTGAGTCCCAATCTGATCCCATTTTTTCCTCACTAATACACACTTCAAATACAAAACGTTATTAAAATCCAATGTCAATGCTTGACAACTGAATAACTGCAATGCATGAAGAAAAATGCATCCAAATAGTTTCTTAATGTTATGTAGGTGGTCACAAACCTTGTTAAGTTTTGGTAAGACACTGCTGACCGGGTACAGTCCACCATGGCTCCACAAGCTCCAAAAGATGGCAAAAGCCTGTATTCTCTACATCAGAACATGTCAGTTGATGAGGCATTCAGTAGGTCAAGCAGCTGGACCACAAAGCAGCTGTTTGAACTGGTTTGTATGAAAACTTTGAACTGAATTTTTTCCCATTTTAGAGTAAAACTCAGCTTACTACAAACCCAGTAAACGCCAAGACAATTTAAGGGACCTTTTAATGTGTCATTGAAACCACACTGGACCTGTCTGCAAGACAGGATCGCATCAATCCAACATCAGTCATTCAAGAGTTAAACCTCTTTCAAATTCATCTGTGTTCTTCAGTTATATGAGCAGGACCATAGTAACCATGACACAGGGAGGCTTCTCAGCCAATGTCAATGTTGTTAAATTCAGTACATGCTAGAAAATACAGTATTGGTGGGATAAAGGCTGATAAGACCATCATTATGTGTCATGAATTGGAGTCAAGTCACTGTATAGCAACTGGAAGAAAAGCTAATTGTGCCGAGTCAATTTTCAACCTCAAATACAGTGCTGCCCACTTAATGACGTACTGCTTTATAGAATATCCCGTTTATAATCATAAAATATCAAAGTCTGGAATCATTTCCTACATAACCTACAGTAAAACAGGCCATTTATTGTCATAGAATAGTGTCATAATCCAGTTTTTGTCATAATGAAATTCCAGGAATAACTTTTGCCCGTTTAAAGTCTGAATATAATCATATAATAACCTGTTGTTCACACACTGCCGGACATTAATCAGGGCACATCACCTTTTTTCATGTTCATGCACTTTTTTCTAGTTTAATCTTTAATGAAAGTTTAAAACAAGTCTCGTTTTCTTTCCTTAAATACTTTATTTCCCAAATACACGCTAAATACATTGGATGTACTTCATGTAGATGGTGCTGGTCCACTACATAGGCTAGTTTTCACATCCAAACTCGCCGCCATCTTGAAGCCCGCTTATTGGAATATCCTGGATATAGTCATTATTCCATCCTATTAATTGCTATTTAGCATTTTTTGTCCACCAAGCTCAAATACTTTGGAACTTCTATGATCAATTTGAACCAGCATCACATTTTTAGGCAAGCTCTGGAAGGCATCTCCCCATGCAGAACTACCGGTAACATTATCTTATTGTTGGAGAAAGAGTGACCCGCCAGGTCAAGTGCTTCCGGGAGCTTGCATTGTTTACCACACTGTAGGCTCCTCACCAGTCACAGTCCCACCAACAGCCTCTTGAATTGTTTACCGGTGTGACAGTGACGATATTCCACGCAGCTGCATGGCCTGACATGGAAAACAGATTGCCCAGAGCGCTCGGCCTGATTTTCTTTCGGGGGGGAGCTGCAGAGATGATCAGTTAGTTTGCATGACTTCACTGTCACCTTCAAGAAAGTCTTCACATGCTAGCTGTCACATCTAGTTTAACGTGCAAAACATTCAATTAAAACGTTATAATACGTTTGAAAAGATAAACTATATCAGGAATGAAAACTGGTATTTGTTTACAGCTACTGGAGGAACATATTCCAGACTTTGCAAAAGTTAAGGAGTGATTTGCCAAAATGCGAAGCTGCTTGTCAGAGCTCTGTCGTTTAGCCACCTGGTGTGATTGTTCTGCCTGAACAGATTCAGATTTGAAACCTAGCCATCACATTGTTTACCCCATTTCTGAAGTGCAATGTATTTCACTGAAGAAAAAGAAAAAGAAAAAAAACAATGAAGTTCCAGCTGGAGTTTCAGCGACAGGAAAAACAAGAACATATACCAGCAATAAACAACCAATCACAGAGGAAACTGTATGTCTAAAGCAAGTGTGAAGCAACTATAGATAATGGCTATATTTATTATCTGTCATCAACAACTGAAACAGGAAATATCCCCAATGCTGTATGTGTGAAATAGAAGTTACGCAACAGGATAATTGTGGATAAATACTATGTCCAAACAGCACAACCACAGTTAAGGTATGAGCAGCACTACGGCATCACAGTTCTATTTCAAGTATCAAGATTATAGTGTTTATTATGCTGTCGTTGTTTCTTAGCGTCCTAATATTGTTTAATTTAATTTACATTCAATTTGTTCGTCCGTGATAATTCACCAGACCCTTTCCAGACATGTGTTTTACTCGGGGACCTAAAGTGTGATGAATCTTAAACGGGCCTCGGCTCTTCGCTCCCAAGCGTGTTTTCCTACATTCCTCCACCTTTGCGCGCCCCGCACGGCTCCCCCTCGCACGAGCCGTTAATCAGCCGAGAAGGCGCGCTTTGGTAAGGCGACAGCCGACGAGACATGATGAATGCGACGTTAAATCAGTCGCAGACACTTCTTGTTGATTTTGAGTCTAATTAATGAATTGTGACACTGTGGCGCTGCATCGGGTTTGATGTAAATCTGCTTTATACACTGTGTGAGAAGTTTGTGTTGAAGATGTGCTTAAATTTATAAACCGCTTTCTACTTTGGATACACTGTGGTTAAATTAATTAGCATAAAATCCGGTCAAACTGCACTTTTGTGTGACTTTATCATCATTTTCTTTTGTGTAATTTTATATTTTGTATTTACATTTAAAGCAAAATATATACGTATACACATATATATACAGAATTGTGTTTATTTTGTTTAGCACAAGTATATTCAGCTCTTTTTATACATAGGCTTCGTTAAATACTGCTTCACCTGACTCTGATGAATATAATGAAATTCTCTCATTCAGCCATAGATTACGTTTACATTAATATTTCTACTGGCTTCATTCAGACGTGCTCCCCACAGAACCAGAGGGAGCCACAGCACGTGGGTGATGTCTGTCATATATTTCAGGTTGGACGGTACATCATCAAGTGATGCAGAATAATGGATTAATAAATTAAAGACTAAATAGAAACTAATAGCAGCTTATTAAACTGTCCACATAACTAATAGACTAGTGCAGTTATGATTTCCTACATACTGACAGTGCTATGGGTCTATGTGTTGTGATAACGACTGCTTCACCATCATTTAAATAAAAATGCCAACAGCTGTGATAAAGCTCAGGACTTAACCTGGCTGTAATTTAAAATAAAGACATGACTGCAGTTTACAAATGGTGACAGCTCACCTGTTTAATGTGAAGTCAGGTGCACAGTGTGATTCTATGTTAGAGCACAGGGCTATACTACGAAGCAAGTCTTAACAAGGCTTAATAAACTATATACATTTATTAGAAGTGAATCTCATTAGTCTGAGATGTTCGTCCCTGTTTTCATCTCAGTGAAGTTTTCTTCAGCTTCACCAATACTGTTGCCGTTGTTAAAGTGGTAAAGAAATCTTATTATGTCGGAACAATTAGGAGCTTTTGTAGAAACGTGACCAGGGCGCTTATTGTAAAATCAACCTGACATGTTCAGTTGAGTGCATGTCTGAAAGGATGCTTTGCCATTTGAGAAATCACATTAAAATACAAAAAGCAAGAGTAAATTAAGAAAAAAATCTTCACAATACGTGCAGGATTTTTTTTTAAAAAGAAGAAAATTAAAAAAATAATTAACAGTGCTACAATTATGACAAACTAAATAAAAATAAATATACATTTGAGATGCAAAATTCACAAAATACATTTCCAGATGCATTAAAAAGTGATGAGCTTCGCTGGAACAGATTGTGGCCGCAAAACGTTGTAATAGTTGATTTGTAAGCAGTGTTGGAAAATGAGCTGAACATGTCAGTTGTCTGTTTGCATATTTGTTTGTTTTGAGCATCCATGCTATGAATGTAAATTGATTTAATTAACTCATGACTCATGAACTGAATGTAAAAAACGAGTCAAGCATGGTGCAGTCATGTCCACCAGTTTTTGAAACATTTCCATTGTAGTCTGTGCTATTTGCAGTATTTTTATATTATTTTTTTGTATATATATTTGCATGCTGGTTCTGCATGTGCTCTGTTTTTTCTCTCTCCATCTGTGTGGTGAAATTGACAAATGTCTTTTCTTAATTTGCTTCTCTTTTGTCTGCACGTGTTTGCTCTGCATCTGCAGAGCCCTCGTTGCCACTGTAACCTATATACACGATAGATGGATAACTGAATAATGGGTTTGAGTGATAGTAGAAGATAAAAGTGAGGCTGAAACAACATGATAAATTACACTTGAGTCATGCAGAGGAAAAGCAGAAAGTCAATAAGTTATGATTGATGGGACAATATATGAATCTTTGTGACAAAACGACTGAAAAATTGTAAAAGTAAAGCGCATCCCAGCACAATGCCATTTCAGGTAAACGTCACTGCGCCGTGGTCTTCTAGGACCACAGATGTAAAAAACGGCATGCATGCTATGTGTAACAAACTACTTTCCAATTTTAGCCGTTGATAAAGCCGGATGGAGATGGCCATCGTTTTTAATTAAAGCACAGCCTATGACTGCAGTCTGTCATTTCCTCCCTCA